AGAATGTTTGTGTAAAAATACAATGTTCATGTTCTGAAAATTTTCCTTGAATCCCAGTTAAGCACGCTCTTCCAGGAAGTAAAGATCATCATAAGAATTTTGAAGAAACTGAGGAATTCGGGAAACCAATAAAAATATAAACATTAAGCATAGGAAGACTTTTATGTCAGAAAAATGCAAAAGGTAGTTCTAAATTTTGTTATTAATATGATAAAAGTTTAAATATGCTTTGAGTTCAACGTCTTAAATATGTGAAGAGCACCATATCGAATAAGCCAATGACAAAGAAATTCTAAGATTTATTTCACAGAAATAAAATGTAAAATCACAAATTTCAAAATAAGATACTCAGAAGAGATGTCAAACTTTAAGAGAAGGTAGGAAGAGGAACATTTCCCATTGACCTTCTAAGGACCTGTGCTTCAGATGGAATACGGCTCAGCCATAAAAAAAAAATGAAATCATGCCATTCGTGACAACCAAATTAACTCCATAAGCTAAGTGTCTGCTGTGGACAAGGCTGCTTGAAGGAGCTGTTTGAAATTTTCATAACATGGGCCTGATGGTCCTGCAGGAAACACCTGCAGAAGATGGGCTTTATATGAAGACAGTCAAAATGACACAGCAAAAGGCACTACATCCAAAGGCACTGAGTATTGGAGTGATATATGCCATAGATTTGTGCAAAACTTCTAGAAATAAGAGTTTTGGGTTTTCGGAAATATTTTTAATAAAAGTATCCCAATTCTACAATTTAATTTCATACTCATTTCTATTTTGGGATAACGCAGCGTGTCAATCAATGCTTTCAACATCAGATCTTCCAGTTACGTGTTTCCTTTCAAACGAAGTACATAGAGGCACGTAGAATTAAATTTGCATTGTGTGTGCTTGACATCTGCAGGCTGACTTGTCCATTTGCTAAGCTGCACAAGGAATCGCTTTCTATCCATCTTTATCTCTCTTCTCAGCACTAATTCATCTCTTTTGTCAGATGCTTCAAAAAATAAATTCAATTTCACTCTAATCTCCTAAACCCAAAATTTTATCCCCTTTCTCTTAGAGTAGAATGTATTCCTTTCAACATACTCAGGTACATTTTCATTAGGTATTTTCTTGTGTTTTGAAAAAGCATTGTTAACAATTAGTTTTGTGGGGTTTTTTAATATCAGCATAATATACACTTCAAATTCAATTCTAGTGGTTACTTAGTTTTATATGGGTCAAATTTTTCAGATTCCCCAGAATTAGTGTTTGGTTTCAAAGCAGAGTTCAGAGAGAGTCAGTAAAGACAGGCTTTCAAGCAAAAATACTGCAGGCTGAGGAAATCTAATAATCTATCTAAATTCTGCCTCAGTTGAAGAGGAGCAGTCACGTCTAACGTTTACATTATCAAAGCTGGGCAGGCAACAGAGGGTTCATAGAAATGTCAACTTCTTCCATCTCCTGTTGTAAAAAATCTCCAAGAAAACAAATGCTAGATTAAAAGACATTGAAGGTCAATGCCCCTTTCAAAATTATCCAAAGACAACGAATTAAAGCAGAAAAAGCTTTCAAAACAATCACTAATTCTCAAATAAATATTCGGGTCTGTTGCCAAAGGCCTGTTGGACCCAGGGTAAAACTGGTCCTCACCACTCTCCGGCAGAAACGCTCTTTGTGACCTGGCCACAAACAAATATGCCAGGCTGATCCAGAAGAGCCCAGTTCAGAGTTTGCTTGCTTGTTTGTTTATTGTGATAAAATACACGTAACATAAAATTTACCATCTTCACCATTTTCAGGTGTGGAGTTCAGTGGCATTGAGCACATTCACATTGTTGTGCAACCATCACCACCATTCATCCTCATAGCTCTTTTCATCTTGCAAAACGGACACCCTGCACCCATTGAACACTAACTCTCCATGCCGCTCCCTCAGACCCTGGCAAGCACCACTCTACCTTCTGTCTCTATGAATCTGATACTCTAGGGACCCCATAGAAGGGGATCATACAGTATTTGTCCTTTGCTGGCTGGCTTATGGCACTTAGCATAATGTCCTCAAGCTTCATCCATGTTGCAGCGTGTGTCAGAACTTTTTATTCCTTTTTAGAACTGAGTAACATTCCACCATATGCACATACTACATTTGCTTATCCATTATTCTCCCTGTTGATGGACACAGGTTGCTTCCACGTTTTAGCTATTGTGAATAATACTGCTACGAATAAGCCAGGTTTTTAAGATAGTTGATATTTGGTCCATGTCTACATACCAAGTAGTCACTGTATGAACCTGGAAACATGAAATCATGCACATTTACCTAGATCCCAGGAAGCTTTCTAATCAAACCCACAATGTCTTTGGGATGCCAAGAGGGAAAAAGTGAAAGGAGAAGATATCCAGTGTGAGTAAAAGCTGGCAAGGGTGAGAAGAGAGTGACAGAGTAAAGCTCTGGGAGCAAGGACCCTATTTACGGTTGGCCTCATTTGGGATCCTACTGAGGAGCCCTAAGGTCAAGAGAGCAAGGTGTGGAAAAGTGAAGACCGGAGGGAAGACTTGTCCCTAACATCGTTGGATGAGCCCTTGCTTCAGGGAGGGAACAAGACGAACACGGGCCTCTCACCTCGAGAAGTTACCAATCTGGGCAAGACAAGCACGTGCATTAGTCACGCCAGTCAAGAGAGCGGTGTGTGTGTTCTTGAGAGGACACCCAACCCAGATAAGAAAGACTTCCTGGGGGAAGCGCAGATTTTAAGCTGAATTCTGAAGGATGAGCAGAAATTGCCCAGAGCAAAAGAAAGACAAATCTTATTTCACACCAAAATGGAACATTCAAAGTTCTGACTATAAAATAGAGCAAAGAAAATTTAAGAAACTGCAAGTTAAATATGGCTAATGTGGGAAGTGCGAGGTAGAGAAAGACAACATTGAGAGAGAAAGCAGGGGGAAAAAGATCCTGTGGGCATTGTAACCTGTGCGGAGGAGATTCTCCTCTATCCTGATGGCAGCGGGGTTGCTGGAGGGTGCTAAACACAGAAGGGTTATAATGAGATTTAAAATTTAGAAATGTCATTCTGTCAACAGTAAAGAGAATCACTTTAGGTTTGCAGAATTGTCAACAGGACTGCGCCTATGAGATTAAGAATGGAATAGAGGTCAGTGACAATGGAGGCCAGGCTGGCAGGGGAGGAAAACAAGGGACATCTAGGAGCATCCAAGGGCCCAAGTATTAGTGGTCAAGTTAATACAGAAAAGTGAAGGAGAGAGGGAAGTCAAGGATTCTTTGGTTTCTGGATGGAGAAACTGGGCCACTGATGGTGTCATTCATTAGAGCATACCAGGAGGGGTGGAGCAGAACAGAAGGTGATTAAATTTGCACTTGCCGGCTTTGCCATGGGTGTGTTCTGAATGCACTATTTAGATAGACAAAAAGTAGTACTGGTAGAGAGTTTGCTGGACAATGATCAGTTATCTACCAAGAAAATACGGAATCAGCATTTAAGAGAAAACTTTCATGTCTCAATGCTATAAATTCTTTCATTCCTGACCCACGTAGATTCATCCTTACAACCGGGTTCCACCATCCGTGCTTGGTTCCACCAGCAGAAGTCACAGCAAAGGCATTGTTCTAACAGTATCTAAACTCATTTTATGTGCGTTCTCTCAATATGCAACAACGAGAAAAAAAATGTCCTCGTCCATAATGTCTTCCAAAACGAGGTGATTTCTTTAATTACAGTCTTTAAAGTCATTTTTTCTAAAATGTTCTCATTAAAAAGTCCATAGTTAAAAATTAAATATTTTTCCCTTTAGTAGTTTTTTTGTTCAATGCCATTTTCAATGATTCCAATTTTCATTTTTAAAAGTATTTCTCATTAAATTAAGGAGCAGCTCCTTTAATTGGTCTACCTCCAGTTTAATAAGCAAACCACAAAGGTACAGGATTTTTTTTTTTTTTTCCGGAGAGGTTTTGGAGTTTGAGGATACAAATCATGAAATATGCATTGTAGAAGGGGTTTCAAAGTGGAGCCAAATGTGTATGCAAAATCCCATGCTGAAAATTGTAACTGTCTCATTCAGATACAAAGTAATTCAGAAAAAAAATAGGACATTGTAAGCCACGAGGATGTTTTTCAGGTAGCCTTCTGGGGTCCATAAATCAGTTCTAAAAATGTGCTCTCGGCTACCGCTTGGCGCACTGGGTCGAAGATTCTGAGCATTCTTTTTACTAAATGTGAAAATATATAGCCCAGTTTTAAGTTAGAGAAGGGAAGAAAAAGAACTTACTGCTTTGAAATGCTTTTTGGCTCAGTTATAATTCAAGCCCAGCCTCAATACTTACATTTACTCTTTTGCTGGTATAGCTTGTAGTTCAATCTTCAAATCCTCCTTTTTTTGTACAAAAGTCATGGAAATGGCCATTGCTTATTGCAAACACTTCTAGTAATTCATGTCCCTATGGATTACGTCTGCCTAGCTTTAAAACTAGACTGTAGCAAATAAAACGCCTTTCATTAAGGGTGACAATTACTAACTTCCTCAGCTTGAAAATAGAAATGTTTTCTTGATCCAAGTACAGTCTGCACTAAATTTTGGCAGTGCCGATCACAGGATCTCCTTGGGTTCTCTCCGTTGCAGGCGCTCTCAACCCCAAGAAATTCTGCAACCACACATGGCAGGCTCCACTTCAAACAAATTAATCCAAATTCCTGTGTGAGCGGCTAAACAGCCACACGTTTCAAAAATGCCATGAGTGAGGTTTGAAAATCACTGCTCTAGCAAGCGATTTTTTAAATTAGAATTGAAAACAGAGTCAATATTTTGCTGAGAAATGTAAAGCAAACAAATAAAGAAAATTGCAATGATATAGGGAAACTTTACGTTTATTCACTTGTTTAAAATCTTCAGATGTTCCAGCTCTTTTTTCTGCTTTCTGAAAGAGTCTGCTCAGAACATTTACACCCCTTGGCCTTCTACTCAAGTAACCACACGGCCTGTCCATGCCGAGACCTTACCTTTTCGTCCCCCTCCTCTGCCACAGTCACTCTGTACACACACGGTTGCCCACACATCCACGGCCAGCTCCATCTTGTCAACACTCCTCCTCCTACGATGCTCTGTGCCTGTCTGCACTTTCTCATCCCTTCCTGGACCAGTCTAATCTTAAACCTCATTCAAATGTTAGATCAAGTCCCCACACCTCCTCCGAAGCATTCTGAAACCTTCTCAGGAGCCGTGTTCCACCTTCTCTGAGTTCTCCTGGCACCGAGTCCCCTGCCTCCCCAGGGGACTTACACAGGACGAGACAATGTGCGCTTGTCTTTACTGTGGATGTATTCATGGCTTATCTTGCAAGTGGAATTATAAATTCCACAAGAATAACTTTCTCTTCTGAATTCTGGAAGAATGTGTCCTGACTCCTCACGTAACCAGTGAAGGAAGAGGCAGCTGATAGATAAAGAGGTAACGTGAGAGATTGTCCAGAGCAGAACCTGATTAAGTCCCATGTCACTGGACGTGCTAATGACTTGACTCCCAGCTAATTTCTAAGCTTCCTGATAACACAGAATACACTTTGCCTCCTGGCACAGTGCAGAACACTAAGTGCTTAATAAATACGTCTTGGACTTCATAGAAACGTATCTCCTTCCTCACATCTACATTCTTCGATTTATCTTTTAATAGAGCAAATGCTTTCCTTTCCATGTACGTGAAGGGGATGTTGCATAGACCTACTGAGAATACGCTTTCTCTTCTGTCCCGCAGTTCCTTGAGATTATGATTAGTCATTCTCCTTTATCAGCTACGTTAGTGCCTCCCAAATCTGGCTGGGAATCAGATTTCTCTTTAGACGTTGTTTAAAATAAAAATACAGATTAGAGACCCCATGGCAGCCTGAATCACAATCTTTAGTGTCACAACCCAAAGAAAGCATTTATTGAGATCCAGGCTTCAGATTCATTCCTAAAGATAGAAAAATGGACAAGATATCGATGGTCCTTGCGCTGAAGGGCTTAGAGGTTAATGGGGGCTGGGGAGGGGGTTCATATAAGCAAACAGATCAATACAATTCCCTGTGTTTCATGGGTACATAAGAAGGGCATCCGACCCAGACTGGGAACATAAGGAATTAGATAGTCTTGGAAGGCTGCCTGGAGCAGGTGAGGTCTAGGTTGAATCCAGCCCAGCCAGGGGACATCAAAGAGGAAAAGATTGTTCCTGGAAGAAAGACTGTGATATTCCAAGGTGTGAGAGTAAAAGAGAGCATGGAAAATTCTGAGAAAAGAAAAATAAAAACAATTTAGGATGAACAGAGTGTAGATTACCAAGGGTGGCCATGAAAGTTGAGGTTAAAGAAGAGAGTAGATGTCGGGCAGAGGGACAAGGTAAACCAAGTACTGCGATTTTGGTTTTATGTTGACAGCAGTAGGAATCCACACCAGGCTTTTAAGCCAAGACGGGACGTGCTGAGATTTGAATTTCAGAAATATTGCTCTGGGACATAATGAAGAGTAGGTTTAAATCTATATGGTTACATGTAGACAGAGAAATTCTTTAGGAAAATTCCTAAGTGTTTGATGCAAGAGATGATTAGGTCTTCGAACGGCTTTTCAGCAGAGAGATGTTAATGAAAGCCACAGGAGGGGATGGAGTTGCCCTGTGATGGAGTACCTTCTGATGGGACCAGGACCTAGGGTAGAGCTGGCAGGAACACAACACTTAGGGAACGGGCAGAGAAAGAAAACCTCATAATGGGATCTGAGAAGGTGACCCCAAAAAGGCAGGTGGGAAGTGAACTGAAATCTGTATCATAGAACCTCAAAATCTGCTTTAAATGATGCCATTAGCGTTGGTATAAGTAATCAACAAATCTGAACGTATGAACTTATTTTTTTAGTCATACGTGTTTTACCATCATAAATAATTTTGAAAATATGATTTTCAATTTTCAAAGAGAGAAATTCCTCTCCATCCGTTGGTATGCGTTGAGCACATAAGTCACAGTGCTGGGGACTTTCAAGATGCTTAAGGATTTGTTCCCTACCTTCAAGGAAGTCGCAGTGTGTGACTGGGAGCTTCTGGGGGTCCTCAGGGCTCAAAAGAACACATTCCACAAAGAGGTGGTCTGCGTAGGCTCCAAAGTCAGTTCTGCAACTGTGTAGCTAATGAGATTAATGCAGCACACAACTGGAAGCGGCTCGGAGGAGGCCCAGGGGAGAGGCGAGGACCGGATCTGAGGGTTCTGGAATGTGCACAACACGTGAAGAGGGCCTGAGAGGGAGAGCTCATTTCTACTGAAGTTCATGTGATACATACATAGGGAGAAAGTGTGGACGTTGGTCCTGATTCTCTAAATTACAGGTGGGCAGCCAGAGCGTACCAGCAAAACAACCCTCTCCTATGACAAAACGTGAGCATACATCCTCTCTGGATCTTGCATTATCTTTGTAGATAGGTAAACTGAGGCACATTAAACTTGGAAGAGTTTGAGCAAACAAGGATTGAGATCTGGCAACGCCAAAACTGAAGACGGTCAAGGGTGCTCCAAGGGTGGGGGCGGGGGCCGTGATTTTTATAGAGAAGACGCAGAAGCAAAAGAAAGAAATTACTTGACGGCCCTGGCTTTAGCAGTTGCCTTGTTTGGGAAAGGCTAGATGGCGGTTATGATTAGTCGTTTCCGAGTTTCACTTTCTCAGATTTGAGTGCACTGAGATTCAGTTTGCTTTTGGCACAACAAAGGCACTAGAACCACCCACGGCCCCTGTGTCACAGCTTTAGCACCTTTCCATGCTGAGAATGTCCCTCGAGAAGCAGCACACGTCCCTAACCCCACACCCAGGGGGCAGGGTCAGTGGGCCCACATTCTACTCTTGCGTCCCTTTGAATGGAAGGAGAACACGAACAAGAGCAAACATTTCTCTTCCCCGTGAACCGAGGAGACAGCACGCAGGACCGCGGCCAGGTCATTTACAAAGGGCGGTCGTGTCCCAGAGCACACGACACTTTAGTGAGGCCAAGAAACCCAGAGACTGTGTTCACAAACATGCAAACTCTGGCGGTCGTTGAAAGCTGTCCATGCTGCAAACCAGTGCATGAAATTCTAGGGAAGATGCAGCTGAGGAGTAACAGCGATGCTCCCGACAAACGTGCGTAAAAGAAGAGGAGAAATCTGACGTCCCCTGACACATGGGTGAAGCATCTGGCAAAAGATGCCGAGGACGTTTATAATATCATTACAGATAAGGTGATCTGGACAAGGGGACCGGAAGCTGAGAATTGATCACACGGTCACAGAGCCTGAAATGAGGTCACGCCAGAGAGGCAGGCGTGATCGAATTGCAAACCCACTGACAAGTCCACACGAGAGCGACCGAGCTGGTAAAGCACACGCTGTCAGAACCTGTTCCTTTGTGGCTTGAATGCAGTTACCTGAGTTCTCACAGACAGAATATTGGGCAATAAAATGGAGAAAGTGAGCGGTCACCTCCGAACTGCAGGAAGAGAGAGAAATCGCTCCTGCCTTAAGTAGCAGGTGCAGGGGCAGGAGAGGCACGCGTGCTAGTTATCCTGGTTACTTCGCTGGGCAAGCTCCTTCCACTAGGGGTTTTTTATAAGGCTGCTCGAAGATAATACGAGCTCTTTGCTGCTGTTTCTGTTTTAAGGACAGTGTAGATACTGGACAGTTGACGGAACAGCAAAGACAGTGACTGGGCAGTGTGCATGGGTGGGTGAAGGTAAGTCCACCAGAAGGGCCCCTTGCTGCCCCTTTTACACAAATCTCTGATCATGCAAGGGACATCTGTTTGATTAAGAGGCATCCTGCCTCTTCAGATTTGAAAGTTCAGGAACAGAAGATAAATCCATCGGATTTCATAAATAAGGCAAAGTTGGCCTTGTCATCTGCAACAATAAAACTTTGAGATCTCTACAAGACAGGAAATTATGAATTATTTGTCAACACAGATGATGCCGGGGAAAAGAACCCTTCTTATGTTTGCTCCAAAGCTCTGGCTAATATTCTTAAGTCCCAGAATTCTATCAGGAAGAAAGTTTCGAGTAGGTGCTACTGATCTTCAACATCCCCTGCCTTTTACTCCCGGTGACTCTCTGGACAAAGGGAATAAGCACATTAGGTGAGAGCCAGTCTGAGAGCTGCACTCAGAAGAGATGCCGGGTGAACGAGCATGACGCCTGGAATTCACTCTCCAGGGTGCTGCCCATGGGAGTCCTGAGTCCGCTTTAAAGCCGAGGGCTTTGAAAACAACTTGGCACTTGACCATTCTGAGGTTTCTTCAGCTGCTGGGAAGGCCAGTCGACTTCCTCTGGGTTCTGGGTCTTACACCTAGCTTAAACCTGGAGGCCTGTATTCCACGGTCTGCATACTTCTACAGTGTAACTAATATTTGCACAAGGCTGTGCAGACTTTTAGGTGCTTCATCCTGTTCCAGAGCATAGTGGGGAGAACACGCGCTTTGTACTTCAAAATGATCAGTGCTCGAGCCCCATCTCAAACAGTGTGAGAAATAAACGAGTCAATTGGTCCGTTCAAGTCACTCTCCATTTTTGAGTGCGATTTCACAGGCGCGGTGAGTGAGTTGCTGGCCCCGTAGGACTTTCCTTTCCTGGGAGAGAGGAAGAGAGACAGACAAACAGACAGACAGACAGAGAGAAAGAGAAAGAAAGACAGAAGGAGAAAGAAAGAGAGAGACAGAAAGAGAGAGAGACAGGGAGACAGTCAGAGGGAGGGGTGGAGAGAGAGGTGAAGAAGAGGACGCCTTTAATTATGAAAATTCCGTTAAAGTGAAACCTTGCTCAGCATTGCCCCTGAGCGTAGGAGCACTTCTGTAGTGAAAGAAACTAGAGTATGTCACTTCCAAATATGCCCCTTTGACATAAAATTTGTTTTGGGCTAAAGACACTTAGAATCAGGAGGTACAAGAAATGCCCTCTGGCCTCCCCTTCTTCCTGGAAGCAGAGAGAAAGCCCTGTGGAAGGCGTCCTCCTTATGCCAGGAGGAAGGAGCGTTATCACCAAGGACTGGAAGTTGAGGCTGGGAGAATTCTGCGCAAACAGACCTTGGTGAAGTAACTCTCGTCTTCCTCCAGCCCCCACAGTGGTGACTTTTCCACTCTCCTCTCCTTGTTCAACTTAACATAAAAGCATTAGGGTTTTGCTACTCCGTTGGGTCTTCACTTCCTTATAAGGGCTCTGCATCAGGTAAAACTTATATTAAA